ACCACATAAATAACCATGTATCACCAACAGGATGTGCTGATGCACCACTTCCCTGGTCAACAAAAACTAATTCAGCATCATTCAAACAAGCAGCACTGCACCACCAATCAGTGGATTTGCATTCAGTGTGAGTTTACTATCAAGAATATTAGTTTCCTGAAGAAAAGCAAGAGTCAACACAGAGTTAGTTAATGGTGGCTGTGAAGTAGAGAGACAGTGTGAATCACTGTACAATCACACGACACATCAGAAAACAGATATATTATCAGTTAAAATGGGAGTGTACAGGATGTAGAGAGTCGATGGAAAACCTGAAGCAACCAATCAAGAGCAGCCTCATCACACTCTGCCAATAAGTTGCAGAACCTATATATATACACACATTTCACCTGCACCCTTTATTCAGGTAGCTTACATACTGACATGGAAATAAACCAAATTAACTGGGATGGGAAATTTTTTTTTTAATATACGAGGTGAGTCAGAAAAGTTCCAGGACTGGTGTCACAAAAGATATATTTCTAACTCAAACTACAAACTACAAGCTTTCTCCTTCAGACCATCAACCAGCACGTCTACAAAGAGATCCTGCGGCGTTTGCTTTGTTCAATGCGCGAGAAGAGGCAAGAGTTGTGGCAGGACAAGTCGTGGCCACTTCACCATGACAGCGCGCCTGCTCACAACGCCCTGAGCATCCCACAGTTCCTGGCTGAGAAGAACATCGCCGTGGAGCAACCTCCTTACTCACTCCACCTGGCTCTGTAGGATTTTTTCCTCTGCCCCAAGCTCAAGGGTGTCATCAAGGGGACCTGTTTTGAAGACGTGGACGACATCAAGATGGCTGTGATGATGGAGCTGCAGAGGATCCTGGTAAAATCCTTCCAGGAGTACATGGCGGTGTGGCAGAGAAGGCTGGGAAAGTGTGTTACACTTCAGGGGGATTGCTGGGAAGGGGAAAACTTGTAGTTTGCGGTTTGGATTTGAAATATATCTTTTGTGACACCAGTCCTGAAACTTTTCTGACACACTTAGTATAAATTCATTTACAATATACAATTACTACATGTTTAGCAGGTTTAGGTAGACTTAGCTAGACACTACGGCTTCTAAAAGTAACACTTCCTCAGTGGTACTCAAAACAAAGAACAGTGGAGGTAGATGGTCAGTTGAAGCTATGAAGTACCATATTTTCCGCACCATAAGGCGCACCTAAAAACCTCCAATTTTCTCAAAAGCTGACAGTACGCCTTATAATCAGGTGCGCCCTATATATGGACCAACATATACATGTGGACCAATNAAAGTGCAGGAAAATCCTGAAGGACAACCTGCACAGTCTTCAAGAGAACCAATGCTTGGGGGAAGATTTGGTTTCCGGCAAGACAATGACCCAAAGCATACAGCCAAAGCTTCACAGGACTCAAGATTTAACAGCAACAACGTGAATACTCCGGAGAGACTAAGTCAGAGCCAGACCTCAACACAATTCTTAATTTGTGGAGCTTTTCACTCAACAGGGACAGTTTTGTGAAGAAGAATATCATAAAATTGTTGTCAAGATGTGCAAGGCCCCACAGGCTCAATGCAGTAATTGCGTAAAGTGCTAAATACTGACATGAAGCCATAGATACTTATACAATCACTAATTCTATGTTTTATATTTCAATTCACTAGCAAGGACCACACCATCAATTTGAAGCTTGATTGTTTACTTGATGCAAATGAGCGATACGTTGGTGATGACTGAGTTGAGCTGAGCTTAGTCAGGGATCAGCAGTGGTCGGTGGATCCCCAAGCAAAAGTAGTCAACAGGAAGAGGAGGCAAAAGTAAAAGCAGGGTGGGTGGGGCATGACAAGTGAGACCGAACAAGTGAAAAGGAACAAGTGAGAAGGGCAGATTGGTGAAACTTTGCCAAATATTTGATCTCCATTTAATTTGCATTGTATATCAGTTTTCATTTACAGATGAAAAAACTTTTTGATTTTTGTAAATTCTTTCTTAAAATAATGAAAATTATGTTGACCATGATTCAATTTAGAAAGGCAATAAAAGGTGAAACTTCCTGAAGTGGGAGAACACAAGTTTCAGGCATTGTATGTCACACTGTAGGTTCATCTGTTTAGCTTGTCATGCAAACATAATTAGAATAACAGGCTATAAAATCTATAGCAACATCATTAATATTTTCTTCTTCCTGGTTTACAGACATAGTATAAAATTCATATACGCGTGTGTGTGTGTGTGTGTGTGTTTGTGTGTGTTTATAAGTATATCTTTACATATAAACATATATATCTTCATAATTTGCTTTTCTCATCAGGTGATATGGAAACACAAGGGAGAACGTCCCTCTACGTTGGGCAACAACACTCTAATAGTGGACTGGATGCCACAGAAGGACCTCCTGGGCCACCCCCAGACCAGAGTCTTTGTCGCTCATGGAGGATCCAATGGAGTCCAGGAGGCCATTTACCACGGGGTCCCTGTGCTCGGCATNACATAATTAGAATAACAGGCTATAAAATCTATAGCAACATCATTAATATTTTCTTCTTCCTGGTTTACAGACATAGTATAAAATTCATATACGCGCGCGCGTGTGTGTGTGTTTATAAGTATATCTTTACATATAAACATATACATCTTCATAATTTGCTTTTCTCATCAGGTGATATGGAAACACAAAGGAGAGCGTCCCTCCACGTTGGGCAACAACACTCTAATAGTGGACTGGATGCCACAGAAGGACCTCCTGGGCCACCCCCAGACCAGAGTCTTTGTAGCTCATGGAGGAACCAATGGAGTCCAGGAGGCCATTTACCACGGGGTCCCTGTGCTCGGCATACCCTTGTTCTTTGACCAGTATGACAACCTTCTACGTCTGCAGGATAGAGGAGCTGGAAAGATTATTGAGCTGGCTGATGTTAATGCCAAGACTTTTGAACAAGGTATTAAGGAACTTCTCCATCAAGACAGCTACAGAGAGAACATTCAAAGAATGTCACGTTTGCACAGAGATCAGCCAATGACACCAATGGATCAGGCTGTGTTCTGGATAGAATATGTGATGCGTCACAAAGGGGCTCCTCACCTGCGTACAGAGGCTTATAAGATGCCCTGGTACTCATATTACTGTTTAGATGTGCTGCTCCTCTTGCTGACTGCTGTAACTGTGCTGCTGATGTCTACTGTGGCTGTTTTGAGGTTTTTATGTTGCAGAAGAAGAAAGAAGACAAAGTCCAAACAGAACTGACTGGGGTCAGATTTGTTTAAAAATAAGTTTCAGTAGGTTTTCTGAAACACTGTATTAATACAACAGCATGTCCTAAAGGTGGCATTGACAATTCTGGACAAATGCTATAAACTAGTTAGTATATTTGTACAGCTAGCATGTGCCTTGTACGAATAAAATGGATGCCCTTTATTTCTTGAGGAGCATCCGTAATCTCTGTTGCATCTGCGAGACTCTGCCTTCCTTTTTTTTCTTCTTCTCTGATCTATAATTTGACTCGAGAATGCTCAAAATTTTAAGCTATGGAGACTGTGGAGGGACTGGACTGTGTGTTTCAGGAAGTTGGAAAAATGAATCAACTAACAGGCTATTCTGTTGTTTGATTGTTTTACAGTCAGATGGTATAACTGTATCGAACACACTTTTGTTTCCTTGCCATTTACTAAGCCAAGGCTGTAGAGGAATACCAGAATTTTTTTTTCTTTTTTTCAGCACATGCACAGAACTGACAGCTTTGATTAGAATTAAATACTCTACCTCTAGAGTATCATATTTGTGTCTTACCCTTGTTAGTGATGCAAAACAACAATCCAGCAAAAGCCTTCACTGTAGGAAATATTAATATGATTAAAGTAATCTACCTCCTTTGGGTCTCAACAACGATTGTCAAATATATCTTTATAAACTGAGATGTTGGATATAGCATTCCCTCAAATAATTGGTGACGATATCGTTTACCTTTGTATCCAATACTTTGTGATTTTATGCTTCTATGCTGATTTCACAATATAACAAACGCTGAAACTTTATATGAGGATATTTTGGCTCAAACCAATGCAGATGTGGTAAAATTAAATCCACATGATCAACATATTCCATGAACTGTGTGACAAATTTCCCCCAGTTTCACTAATTGAAGTAAAGATCAATACATTTTTATTCAAAAGGAGCTTTGTTCTGTATAATCACTCCACTACTGAATATTCTACATGGAAATTCTGTCTTGAGGAACACAATACTGTACAATGTTCACTCTTTGAGGGTTGTTCTTGCCTTCGTGAACTCTACATTCACAGACTGACGTTTCACAGACACCTTAGTGTTGCGTGCCAAAATTCGAGCAGAGTTCATATCCTAAACTTGTAAACCAAATGATTATTCTAAATAGAATGGTGGGAAAAAAAAGTTAACCATGACTGACATTTTCTGGCAATAAGAGTGAATTTCCACTGGACCAGAGGGCAAGGCATAATTATCAGACATGATGAGGAAGACTGAATAATGTTTAGAAATACACATCTTTGTTGCAGAGATTGAAAAAGCTCAGTGTAACAGCTATGACACAAACAGTAATCTGTTGTGTGTTACAAAAGACAATGCAACGCTTTCTTTGAGACCCCTGTGGCATGTTACTGTGTGAGAAACAGCAAAGTTAATGACAAATCAAGACCGCATGTTATGTATCACTGCTAGGGTGCCACAGGCAGTTTTAATGGAAAAACTTGTAGATCGATTATATCCTGCTTGTTGGTGCTTGTGTTTCTCTGCAGTGTGTTGATCTCATCGTCGACTTAACTGCGATCAGTGCCAGTGAGAGGAGAAACCTCAAAATGATGACGGAAAAAAATATAATTTCAGAAAATAGACTGAGCAAAAGCATTTCCATTTACCAAGCAATCTCAAGACAGATGACTTAAACCAGTCGGAGGGTGAAAAATTGAAGCTCTTTGATAAAACTTTACCTCATATGGGTTCTGGAGATGGGTGAGGTTGTCTTGGTAAATCCAGCTGCAAACTAAACTACACTTCATTTACCAGTCCGTGATACACTGCTTAAGCCTATTCTTGACAAATGCAAAACTGTGAGAGGAAATTTTCAAGGTACAAAATTGGTGAGGTGAGTTTTAAATCCTGGAACTACTTCACCGGTACAACATTGAAAAGAAATACAGATGGAGAAACAAGAGAGAAGAACTGCATGTTTGTGTGTAGGTATTAATTGGAAATGTGTGTGTAAGTGTAGTCATTATTAAAACAAATAGTGACCTTACTGACATTTACAGTAGTTGATGCAGGGAGGTGGATTTATGTGGACATTTTGATAATCCCCTTTCCTCTGAAACATATCACCCTTGTAATCCAACATGAATTCAAGCTGGCGACACCTGCTGTTTTCTGCTGTACAGGAAATTACAAACCGCACAACCGCTTTTCAAGCGTTAAACAGGGGTGACTGATTCTGGGCAGCGTCAAACCTTAAATTTTTTGGCATAAAACACACTACAACTTAAACTGACACATTTGTTTAGTGACCTGCGCTGCTGGCCCGCTCTGCCAGTGAGGCAGTTACGACATTTTAACTGCCACCTTTGAATCCTAAAGGGGAGGTCACAAATAGTCAAAGGATTTTGCATGTCACAAAGCATTACTAGAGATTGAAAGTACTCTGGAAAATTGTGCTGAACAAAAATGTGCTTATATAAAAGTAGTAGAGAGTAAAGAGAACAAAATACTGTATGGGGATAATAGTGCCTTATAATGCAGTTTAGGTGGTAGAGTGGGTTATCCACTAATGGTAAGATTGGCGGTTCGATCCCCTCCTTGCTGAAATGTACTGAATTAACGAAGGGGTGAATAAGAAAAAAATATAGTCAAGTCCTTTCTAGAACCTCGCTAAGGTTAGAAGGTGTTATATAAGTGCCAACCATTCGTAATAACTAACAAGTTACAGAACACCAGACAAAATAAAGTGCATTAAAATATCAGTGTGTCCAAAACCTTGAGGAGCATTATCAGCCACACCAAACCGCCTGGCATGGAATGAGCAACTGATTTGCTGTCTTGGAGTAGGACGTTGCATAATTTCCTTGCATGCATGGGGGATTTTACTCTGCAAGGAAGGCAATATCTCAAAATAAACACATTTAAGCCAGAGTAAAACACAAAAAAAAAACCTACTTTGTTACAGCAATTAGATGTGTAATTCGCCACTTCCACCCCTGAGTTCTGCTGCAAAATGATGTAATCGCTGAATTGCAGTGAATCTGAAGACCTAAAAGAGTGTTTCAAGGGTACAAAAGGATGGAAGGAGTAACAACAAAAACTGAGTGGAGCAAAAAGGAGAAGAGCTGATGCAATTGTCTTTAGAGTATAAATCGAATTTTAATGACACGAGGATACAGGCCAAACCGATAAATGTAAATAAGAAATTCTCTTTTGAGCTGGTCCAGCAACATGTAGTGAGTCCTTACTTTCTCTGCTAAAAAGCAGTCGCTGAATTCCCCTCCGAGGAAATCTTCTCAGTGAGATACAGCACTTGAATACACAGACTGTACACTCATTGTCTTGCAACTGTGTGTTTTGGCTGATGAACTGCATTGCCTCTGTCCACACATAATAAATGTACCCCCCGAGGTCAAGTCAGCTTTTAGCACCGCAGCACTATTCAAGTCTATCCGAGCTGCTGCTCACTGTGCAACATAAATGTTTCATTCTCTACATTACTTTTGCCACAAGGGATGCCTCGGCTAGTCCAGACGTACTGTAGGGTCAGACACCTTAACATCTGCTGCAGGAACAGCCGACATGCACACATAAAACAGGTGCTGCACATGTCTCTGTACAGTGTCACTGGTATCAGAAAGTGTGACTGACAGCACACAGCCTTCCTCCCTTTGTGTTCTCTTATTATCCCTCCCTCAATCTGTTTTCATCTCTGGCTCTTTTCTTCTCTCTGTCCCTTTCTGATTCCTTAGAAAATCCTTCCTCTGATCACGCCTGATACTAGATGATCTCACCGTGCATGGAGTTTGAGCCTGAGCAGCTGCCTTCAAACGCTACACTTTCAGTATGGCAGCAGCTTCACCAATTAACAGACTCCATGCAATAAAAGCGAAACAGAATGAGATTAATGCCAAACGAGGAAAAACAGGCTAAAAACAATACAGTGAAACTAAGTGTTGCAGCCAGTGTTTGACCCTGAAAGACCATGTTCACTGACCTGCAACCTGGGCTGCATCAGACTTCAGATTTCTCCTCATAAAACACATTTCAGCTTAAACGAACACATTTAGCAACTTCATTGACGAGCTGTGCTGAAAATCATTTTGACAAGAACATGACGAGGCCTCATTATTTTACTTGGCAGTATGTGTTAGTAAGGAAATACGAAAAGATAAAAGTGAAAGGTTCATAAATTAGCTGATACTAAGCAATCGCTGAACTTTAGTGCTGAAATATGGCAACACCAAATCAGCATTTTTCTCTCAAGGCTTACATGTGTTTGTGAATTTAAAAAAAAACAAAAACCCCTACATGTTCCCTGTGCAAATCCACATAGTGCTTCATACCTCTTTTCTTCTTGCAACAAGCATGTGCAAGTTTCATGCATCCCTGTCTCGTCACTCAACACACAAAGACACGCACGCACACATAAATTCAGCCACTTTGGCTTGTGCTCCCAAAGGGCATCTGTGAGGCGTGACATCATTCTCTCCACAAACACACAGATCCCATTAATTTGGTCTCCACGGAGGAACTACTGGCCAGAAGCATAAGTGGATCTGATCTGCGCAGCAAATTCTGTACTTCGGCTGGGCGTTTGCACGTGTTGCTGTCTGTTGAGTCTTGGAAAACATAATCACGCTTCAGCAATGTGAAATTCTCCCAGACAGACCACATCATCCAATCTCCAAAATCAGATGGTTGTTGTGGCCAGAGACATAGTGTCACCGTCAGTGTCTGTGACACGTTTATTTTTTTTATTTTTTCCACTATAAACGTTTATTTTCTTCGTATTTGACTTTAAAGGATTATGGTTGGAGTTTGGTTTCAGCAGCTCATTTGTAACGATAAATATATTTTCTGTAAAACTGATTGTAACACTAAAACAACGAATACAGAAGATAGAGTGTGCTTTCTGACACGATGATTTTGATTTTATATCTGAAGATAGCTTAGCCTAATCCAACACTGTAGGCTGCCCCGTCAATCAAGTTGAACATGAAAAGAGTTAATGTTAATGGATTATTTTGTTGTAGCTCTGTTTGGAGGACAGTCACGTTGTATGCTTTGGAAACACAGCAGTCTCATTTTAACCTTTTTTCTTTCAGCCTATTTGTTTGCAATTATAGAAATTGGCAAAGTAAGATATTATCAGTCAGCAGTTCCTGTTTGCCACGTATCAGTAGATGCACAATCAAGTAAGTTTTTTTTTAAGCACGTTAACTTTATTTTTAATAATTAAAATCTGCTCTAAAGCTGCAGGTTTAATTTCATTTAACATGAATCCATTGTTTTGTCCATTTCCTGCATTTTTAGCAAGCTACGTATTTGCTATTCGGGTATGATACAGCAGAGTCAAACTCGTGATGTCACATGACCTCTCTTTTTCTATCTGTGATCTTTAGCTTACAGACAGCTAAGGTTTATGGGGAATGATATTTGTAAAAAGTTTATGTTGTTTGTTTATCAAGAAAGGCTGAAATTTGCAAGAGGTTTTCTTTGGCAAGTGTTGCTTGGCCCCTTATTGGTTAAGAAAGCACCTGCAAACATTATAGTTTAGAGTTGCACATTTATCTTTTTACCAAGTACATTATGACACACAAAATCCTAAAACATTGTCAGAGATTAGCACCAGTGGTGCATTAGGAGAGGCTTGGAATGCTTCCCTGTCACAGTACATCGATCATAAATTGAATCCTGGATGGCACTTTGCTCTTGTCTCCGCAGAGACTACCCTCAGGCTTCATAAATTTTAGATCCTTAGCTATGGGCAGCTGGTTTTAATTTAGAGTTGGAGGACCAACAACAAAGCTGTCTGGCACTGAGCTTGTAGGGGGAAGTGTGCACAGTGAGCACTAAGCCTTTGGGTCAGACTCTGGAAGGGAATATAGTGCAGTTTCAGTACAGGAAACGTGTCCTAAATGTGTATTCCAGGGGAAAGTAGTAGGAGTACAGCTACACAGCTGTCACAGGCATATCAAGTATACTAATTATATGGGCATAGATATCAGGATGAGTTTGAAAACTACACTTTTAGGCATATTTGTGTGATCAACTGAACAAAGAGACACAAGTGAACAGCAACCTTATTACACAACCATCTTCAGTGATCTGTATGTTGAAAAGTTCAGTTACACGCATATATTCCCACACGGTGACGAGTATGATTATGTGTTATATCTAATTTACTTCCTCACATTCAGGGCTGATTCCAATCATTTCATGCTCATCTATTGTATTAAATTTGTCATTGAATCATTCTGTAGAGAATTGTGCAAGACGGCATGATCAGAATCATACCATAACCTGGACTGAATGTTTTGTGTATTTCAGCCAACTTTTACATTTTTTTTTTCCAATATTTAATCTCTTGAAGGGGAGAATGGACAAGTCTATGTTCATGTGAGATAAGTATCACTTTAAAGAATGTTGTTTTTGTAAACGCTTATCTACCTTTTTGGTATTATACATCCTTTATGTTCCATATCTCAATATTTCTCTATGTGACTCAGATGCAGTGTCACTTTTCATCTCTGCAACCGACAGACTGATGTTTGTCCAGTCTTACATCTGGTCAAGTCATGAGGCTTCAAGACAGATCTTGCTCTGGACTTATGAAGAAAAGAATGACAGGATGCTTTGTAATTTGATTAATTTTAATCCAAAAAAATATAGATTAGTTTTTTGTCTGTGGCACATGTTCCTATTTATTATACATCATTTTGAATGATGGGTATTAAGTTATACCCCTGTTGTAGTTTTTCTGCAGTTGTACAATCTATCTGATATCCATGGAAAAGCTGCAGGAATCACAAACTGTGGCTGAAATCCAGCCTCACAACCTCTCCAACATACCCAGAGGGTTAAATATTTGATTTTTTGCTGCTGTCTACTATTGATTGATTCAAACCAACAGAGTCTTACTTCATTTGGGGCTTTGTTTAACACAACGGTCTACAGCTAGTGGAGTAAAAACTAAATGTGTCAGCAACTGCAAAAAGCTGGTGGGTAAATTGAAATAGATTGTTCAAATAAAGGACAGTGTGAAGGCTTGTTTTTCTCCTATTAGTGACAGCTTTGATGACATGGCAAAGCAAAAAAAAAAGAAAAAGCAAACTCTTGACCTTTTTGGTCTAACATGCATCTGTCAGTAAAGCACAGTTACACCTAAAAATTGTTGATTTAAAGTCAGAAGTTTTATGCTGTCAAATTTCTGCCTCTACTATACAGTTACTTAGAAGACCATAACCACTGAATTTTAATGCTACAAGCTTGTTTATATCAGTGATATTGCATTTTCTAAGGGAGCAATGGATGAATTAAGACTGAATTAAGCTAGAATTTAATCATGCCTCAATTAATAAATCTGCCAAGACATTATCGGCATATTAAATTAATATCCATTGCGTAGGCTGATTTGGAAGATTTAACTTGGGGTGGATATGAATAATTGCCTAAACATGTTTCTCTGTTCATGTCCGTCTGAAGTTTGGTCCAAAAGAACTGAGGCACAGTCAGTCCTGTAAACTGCTGAATGTAAGCTCCTTGTGTAGGATACACAGTGTCATCATATAGGACAAACAAAGCTAACTTTACAACTAACTACATACCAAGGAGGTTATCATTTACTGTGTTGACCTCTTTTCATTACCTTGTTATCAAGACTCTCAGATGCTAAGCCAGCAGTTCTTGCTCAACCTTTAACTGCTGCTACAGATGACTAGTGCAACTTAGTTTGCTTCTCAGAAGGAAAAAAAAATATGCAGGAAAATATGAGTTCAGTAGATGCACACTTGTGTGATATTACATACACATGTGCATGTACATGTGCTACAGCAAAAATAGTACATTGTGTAACTATTACGTAATTCCTCCAATCTGGCGTGTTTTTGTGCACAGTGTGCATCTTCTCAGCACGCAGATATCTCCTGATCAGGAGACGCAAAAGCCAAATTGGTGGAAAATGCATGTGGATTTCAAAATCATCATACCACTTTTGTCAGATGATGATCATAAGTGTCTGTTTGTTTATTGGACAGAATTTGTGTTAATTAAATAGTAAAATCTGGGTAATTTTGTAAAGATTAACAAATTTACTGAACCCCCCCCCTCCCAGATGATGTTGTTCTGTTGGCTTCATCAAATCAGGACCTTCAGCGTGCACTGGGGCGGTTTGCAGCCGAGTGTGAGGCGAGCGGGATGAGGATCAGTACCTTCAAATCTGAGGCCATGGTTCTCGACTGGAAAAGGTGGCTTACCCTCTCCGGGTCGGTGGAGAGTCCTTGCCTCAAGTGGAGGAGTTCAAGTATCTCGGGGTCTTGTTCACGAGTGAGGGGCGGATGGAGCGTGAGATTGACAGACGGATCGGTGCAGCATCTGCAGTGTTGCGGTCGCTGTACTGGACCATCGTGGTGAAGAGGGAGCTGAGCAAGGGGGCAAAGCTCTTGATTTACCGGTCAATCTATGTTCCTACTCTCACCTACGGTCATGAGATCTGGGTAATGACCGAAAGAACAAGATTACGGATACAAGCAGCCAAAATGAGTTTCCTCCGCAGGGTGGCTGGGCGCTCCCTTAGAGATAGGGTGAGGAGCTCAGTCACAAGGGAGGAGCTCAGAGTAGAGCCGCTGCTCCTCCACATCGAAAGAAGCCAGCTGTGTGGCTCGAGCATCTTTTCCGGATGCCTCCTGGACGCCTCCCCGGGGAGGTGTTCCGGGCGCGTCCCACTGGGAGGAGGCCTCGGGGAAGACCCAGGACACGCTGGAGACATTATGTCTCTCAACTGGCCTGGGAACACCTAGGGGTCCCCCCGGAAGAGCTGGAGGAGGTGTGTGCGGATCGGGAAGTCTGGGCAGCTTTGCTAAGGCTGCTGCCTCCGCGACCCAACTCTGGATAGAGCAGTAGAAGATGGATGGATGGAGGGATTCTTTAAATATAAACGTAGAGTCTCTCTCTCTCTCTTTTTTTTTTTTTAAACCTCCAGTTCAATTTTACTTTTATTGAGGCAGGTAACAAGATATAAAAATGATTATTCTCATGAAGTTGACCTATGTTATAGCATGAAAAAATATAAAGGAAGCCAGCATTCTCAACTCACTACGTGCACTGCATTCACACATTTATGAATTGTTTATGAGGCATAAACATCGGATTGTGAAGTCTACTTCTATATAAATATACACAAGTAAAGCTCACATTCATGAAACATTTTGGTTTTGTTGAATAAAATAAATCATGAAAACTGGGGGGAAAAACTATTGTAACTTTTTTTTAATTACCATGTGATAATTTACAGAGGTACAGTACAAAATCTAATGGAAGCAAAACACTGTTTCATTAAAATGCATCCATTGTACTGAATGCGAGCACCATAAAAAGCATACAAAAAGTCTTCCCAAGCTATCTGTTTACAAAGTGACTGGTTAAAAAAAAAAAAGAAAAAAAAAAAGAAAACCTGTAAAAAATATCTCTCAGTGGTAGAATATATCTCACCTTTCACCCACAATTACCCATGGCGAAGAGCCATATTTTACTTGCACGCTTACATTACTTACAAAAAGGGTATTCTAATTTCACATCATGCCTATCACATACAGTATGGTCCAGATGGAATAGTAAACAATCATTCTTAATGGCGGTTTGGACAAAGAAATTTCTAGCTCTATTTGCTCTCTCCCTAATGGTCCACAGTTTTTCAATCGTCCAGCACTCAACCAGGAGCGCCGGAGAAGCATTCAGTCTCTGCGGTGAGCCCGAAGGTGTTTTCTCTCTGCTCTATTCACTCCCTTGGTTTGTGGTGACGCCTGACCAGCCTTGCTCTCCTCTTCATTCCAGCTGCAAAAGATGAGGCGAGATAATTAGGGGAGAAAAAATGTCAAGGTGGAAAGAAATGAAATGAAAAGAATGGGTGGAAGGACTCAAAGGTAGATAATGGAAAGGAAATCCTTGAGTGACAGTTTGTGGTTGGATATCTGACTTTTCCAATCATATTTTCCTGCTGTGATTTTGTAGTTTTTGGCAAGCTCTTTTCAGGCCGATCCAACATTGGTGTTGATCAAACCGTCATCACCTAATTATGGTCTTACCTGGAGCTTTCCTGGCAGCAGCGAATCTGCCTCCCTCTGTGAAATGAAGAGAGGCAACACAGTCAGTCAGTGCAGTTGGACACGCAGACACAAAACCTGTTCAGATCTGCAGTTATGAGCGTTTACCTTGAATGATTTTGGTGATTCTCTCTGATTCCTCATCAATCAGATTTGGGTTGCCGTGGATGGTGGTGATCCTGGAGAAGTCTGGACCTGAGCAATCAAAACAAAACACATTAGATCCAAAATACAGATTTGTTTTTCCTCACATACAAAATCATGTTTGAAGCTACATTAAAAATACATGACATTCTCTTTCTCACCTTGCACATGAATAAATACAGATTGATAAACATGATTATTTTAAGGAAAAAACAAATGAAATAGACCTTTTAGGTATAAAGTGTTCATGTATGGACACCCTACCCTCAATGATCTGAGGCTCGTTCGCCGTGGCGTATCTGGCTCCACCTTCAGACGGGCAGCGGAGAAGGTTGTTGAAAGTCATTTAACGACTTAGCAACTGTACTGACTGACAGACGAACAGACTGACAGGTACATACACCTCCTAAAACACCTCCTCCGCCACCGCCAACACATAGTCAAGCACAAATGTGCAGTGTTTATGAGCACACACACATATACTTCCACACACATGCACAGGGTGCAAAGTACAGGTGTGCAGTGGGCGCTCGGCTCAGAAAAACAAAGGGAATTCTTTGTCTTTGTCCACAAACTAAAGTGCAAGCAGTTGAAAGCTCACCAACCCCTGCACCCACAAAAATCAAAGCCCCAATGATCTGAGCTCACCTCCTCAACTGGCACATTATAATTTGCACACTGCTCACACATACACATCACATCTAAGCTAGAAAGATTGTAATGATAGCATTCTTGTCTGAGAGACAAGAACATGGACAATGGAATGAAATCAGATGGAGAAGTGGTGAGATGAACAGACATCCAAATCATGGTGCACCACAGTCAGGAGAAGAACATGTACGAACACTTGGAGTTTGAGTTATATAGTTATGTTCCGAACAATGAGCCCACACAAACATAAGCCACAATGAGCTTGCAATGTTTAAGTTGTGGCTTGCCAAAGCTTGTCATACTATATTGTACAGTCCTCACAGGAACAGATTGTTCTAGTGCTCTCTGTGCAACACAAATCTACATGCCCATTTACACAGCATATTATTAGAGATTCCACCAGGATGCAATATATCTGCTCCAGCTGTGATTAAAAGATAGATAACAAAATGCAACTGTTAAGAAAAAGAAAATTGCACAGTAATCATAATAAACAGTTTTCCTTCAGGGTGTTTTAACATGGGGGCAGCTACACTCTTGTAGATAGACAGATCCAGCTGCACATTGTAATGATGCTCTGCTTGGGTAAATTTGACTTTGCATATCTCAATTAGGGGCAGCAATTAGTTTCAGTTTGTGTGTGTTTGTGGGTTAGTAATGCAGCTATAAAGAAGTTTTATATGTCCCACAGTGCCACTGAGAGTCTTTCCTGCCTTCAGCAGATATGTCCTTTCTGGTTTGCCGCAACCCTGACTTCAGAATTTTGAAGCCAGTTTGCTGTTTCAGTGAAGTTAGGAATGCTGTGGATGCTTTTAAAGAAGTTGAGAAACTGAAAAGACAGGCTCAGGCAGCAGCAGAAACTCTGGCTGGCACTTAGCCAGCCATAGCAGCACAGGACGTAAACCATCTGGGTTGTTGGGTTTGTTTTTGAACCACCAGTGGAAAGCAAGACTTGAAGCCTCAGAGATAAAGAAATAGCTGGAAACTAGCAGTTAAACCAAAACAACCAAGTCACTGCTTGTTTTTAGACATAGATAGCACAGAAATGACTTCTGTCGCTATCTGTAGTCATTATGGTGATGAAATATGTACAAGAAAGTAGGGACAGTCACTGCAGTACAGCAAGAACGGTGCACACCATGAAAACGATACGGATGTCCGATGACTTGAGTGATGATCATCAAAGAAATGTGAAATGCAACGTAAAATGAATTTCACATGAGGTGATGATGCGCAATGGACAAAAGGACCATGGCTGCAGTTGCTGAAAAAGCTATTGGTGCATGAACGTTCATCATGCTCTTCATGGGAGAATGTTAAGAAAACTTACCCGTAATCCTCTTTCCATCTGCATCAACCTCCGTACCTGCAGGTGAAGGCAACGTGCCGTCAAATCTATGCTGAAACCTCATTTGCACTCAAAAAATGAACAATTTAAGGATTTTCTGAAAGTGTTCTGAACTTACCCTCAATAACTCTGGTAACTTTGGTAATAGTAGGCTCTCCCTTAATGACCCTGGTTACTTTGGTGCGTGAAGGATCCCCCTCGATGACCCTGGTTACTTTGGTGCGTGAAGGTTCCCCCTCGATGACCCTGGTCACTTTGGTGCGTGAAGGTTCCCCCTCGATGACTCGGGTCACTTTGGTGAGGGAAGCATCCCCTTCAATAACTCGGGTCACTTTGGTGACGGAAGCATCCCCTTCAATAACTCGGGTCACTTTGGTGAGTGAAGGTTCCCCCTCGATAACTCGGGTCACCTTAGTGAGTGCAGGATCTCCCTCGATGACTCTCGTTACCTTGGTGATCACAGGCTCGCCCTCGACCACCACCTCAGTGACTGTTGGCTCAGTCTCTATGACTCTCGTTACCTTGGTGATAGTCGGCTCTCCTTCAATGACTCTGATCACCTTTGTTGAATCAGGTACTGTAGAGAGGGAGAGGTAACATGAGCGTCCCTTAAGAATGACAGAAAGAAAGGTTATCTCTAAAACACTCCCACTCTCTATTAGGAGTGAAGAAGGAGGCAGGAGGCACAGTATGTGCAGTAATCAAGGCACATTAGAACACGCAGTGGAACAAACAGAAGCTGGCATGCGCAGGATATTAGATTGCATCACTGCAACAGCGAGAGGTTAATAAGTGCTGCTTTTACACTCCGCGGTCCAGCAAGCTGGTCTCTATGGACAGGTTTTCATTTTCTCCTTTGGTCGTAATTAGTAATTTTAAAGTACTTTAAACATCAGTTACACATTTTTAGTGTTTAAAAACCCTTGACTACTGGTTGATAAATGATACGTGAACACCAGTCAATAAATATCCATCTGGGGCTGGAAATCTTTGTAAAATCTTACAAATCCCACTTTGAATGAGTTTCAACAGAAGCCTCAGCCAGGAACATTCTTTTACTTCTTTTACAGTGTCTGCTCCTGAGTGATGATTTTTTACGTGACAGTATTTATATAAGTCATAAAGAGATGAAAGCTGACAGATGTGCGTGTTTTATCAGAGGGTTTTTCTAATCTTTGGCCTGAGGTCCCTTGATACTTGGCCCAATTCAGTAATCGGAGCCAGAATCTGTCTTTCAAACACAGTCATTAAGAGATTTTTGTAATTTATGCCTAAAACTGTGGCTACTTCCTCTTGTGAGTGCATGCTATTTTAAGGATTGTATATCATTTGGATGACAAATTATTCCACCTAATGACTAAATGGTAAAGATAATAAAATGACGTATTTATGTGTGTATTAAGTGAGAGTGTATACATCAATAAGAGGAATAGCTAGTTTGGTCTCCCAAGATGAGCCACTCTTCCTATTCAGGAGGTCTAAGCTCATCAATCATAATGCTGTGCAATTTAATATTGTGCATCGGATGATACTGCAACACAGTATTTCAGAAATTAAACTGTAGCAGCTCATAAAAAAGTGCATGATGAATGGTGCATTATAAATCTGCAGCTACCTTCTATTACCTGTCATTAAAACAGACGCAGACAGAGCCGCTTTAAAAGTAGTAAATCTTATGTCTCCTGAACCCATAAACCAAAGTGATGCCTGCTTGTAAGCTCTTTTACAAGTGGATTAACCAAAGAATGATTTTTCCTTTTTCAAATTCTTTAGTTTGATTAAAGACAGAAGGCCTAGAGAATGAACACTATTAGGCCAAACAGTGGAGAATAGCAATCCAAGCTTTATCAAGCATAGCATTTGCATTTTCTGTTTATTCGTAGCAGAAAATTGCAAACCCTGAGAATAAAAACCCCTGGAGTCCAAGACCTTCCGCTCTATAGTCTCAGTAATTCGCCTAATCGCCTTTGAAGACTTCATCTCTCCTATGTTACCCAATACGTCAAGGTATGCTCCCATTTGTGTGGAAGTGCATTACACACAGTCCAGCTGAATGAGCAACATCCAAGAATCCTCTATGGTCTCTGACCCCGTTCTACTTTGACAGTCTAATTACTGCATCCCTAAAGGAACTGATTAAATATGCCAGGAAGTCCAAATGGACTTTAGCAGTAGCGGAAGTTCAAAAGCAGTGGAAAAAAGAAGAAGAGAGACCAGGCAAGAGGCTTTAATGGAATGATGATAAGCATGTAATATGCATGTGGTCGCAGGATGGATTCCACTTTTAGAGCAGATGCTTACTCTTGCCTTAAAACATCAGTTAGTTTCAGAGAAAGTCCTGTTCCCTAAATTATGCTAAATCCATTTCACGACCAAATTTGATTCAAATCTTTCACTCGTGTGGTTAGTTTTAGGTCTTACCCTCAAAATAAGTAGTAGTTGTGATGGTTCTCTCTGTGGAGAAGCAAAATTAGTCAGAATTGTTGGACGTTTAAATGTATTTACACATCATACAGCAATAGTGGCACTAATTAAACTTACTGAGGAAGGTAAGAGGGATCTCAGCATAAGAAAATCCAGAAACAAACTAAAGAACAAAAAGCAGAACAGAATGGAAATCATAAGGTAAAACACACACCAATGTAAAGTTCTCTCTGACCTGCACATATTTACACACACATGTTTTTGCTTTCTCTACCTGTATCTGGATGTACTTAATCAGCTTCCTCAGGAGGACCAGGAGGTCCTGACGGCCCACAGGAAGGTCTATAAGGGTCACATAATATATGTATCAAACAAACCAGAATGCATCCTGGCACAGAGTCAACACTGGTATTGTATGAAGCTCTCACCCCCAGGATACAGAACATTCTTCACCACATGGATCACTCCGTTTGTTGCCATCAGGTCGCTGTCTGGCACGTCCACAGAGTTCACATGGATAGAGTTGTTTACCTGGAAAACACAGTAAAGAAATCTATTTTTCAAGAGCTATAAATAAATAAAATAGCACACGAGTCTATTGTGAGTGATATCTGGGAATTCCATGTATGATTCATTTCTGACAATTTAATTACATCCTGGGAAGTGACTGAAGCTGGATGAGCTGAGTCAGCGGCAGGTTCCATTCCCCCTTTCCCTCACTCCCCCATCAACTTGAGCCACATCTCTTTCAGCCTCGGGTCATTTAAAAAAAAAAAAAAAAAAACTTACCACAGATTTCCATCAATCCCTGTCCCCTCTTTTGTTTAACTGATTGAAGACTGAATAGCTCACTCTCCTGCTGCTCAAACAAGCTTTCCTGTGTCCGTTAAGGAAGTCCTGTAGGCCTGATATGAGACCTTGACTGTGAGGGCGGGAAGGTAAAATTGAGGTAATGGGTGAAATGATGACAAAGCTGACATGGAGGCTGATGAGCAAAGCAGACAGAAACAAATGGCAGGTAGAGGGTGCCTGAATAGGAGAGAGGGAGTGGTGGGTGTTGGGCGTTGATGGAAATGACAGGAAGCCAGGTTTTTTATTACTTTTGGCTTTTCTCCAGAGATTGAAGTAGATTCTCCAGCTTTGAAGTAGATTAGCGCAGGCTCTTTGATGCTATTGTTTAAATGAGAATGTGGGGAAAGATTGAGTTTAAGTTTCACAACGAAGGCTCGGGATGCATTTATTTGTGGTCATTTAAAATTTGATCACAAATATGCTGTTAAAGGAAACATCAACCCTTGGATATCGACCCCTATGCTTGTTAATCCTCTACATTTCTCCATAAATTGTGGTGGTGGCTGTGACTCAGTTGGTAGAAAGGTTGTCCTCTGATTGGAAGGTTGCTCAAGCCTTAGCACCTCCAAGCTGCAGCAGTTTTCTGCAATCACACCTGAAATTTCTCCAGGAATTACCCTGTCTCGTTACAGGATAGTGGTAGCTCAACGGTTAAAGCTTTCAGCTACTGAAAGCAGTTGAAATCTAGCAATCAGCCAACTAGTTTGTGAGGTTTAATCATGGTTATGCATCTTAATCAAAAGGGGAAATGAATGACTGTACAAAGCGCAGACACATTTAGGAAATCACTCATTTTACTTTGATTCTTAAGACATGAATGAACACTGAAATGATGACGTACAGATATAACTTGCAGGTTGTTGCCCTGGAAGGTTTTGAGCAGGTTGGTCACTCCTCCCTCTAATCCTCCATTGATGAAGACACCATTACTGAAGTGGTAGAGGAGAATGGTTCTCAAAGCATTCACGTCACCTGTCAATGAGACCACAAGGCAAACATTTCAATTTTATCCGTATGTAGTGCCAATTCACAACATAGGTCATGTCAGTGCACTTCACACACTAAGGTCAAGACCTTACAATATTATAGGGTGACATCCAACAAATGCAAAAGATTCTCTTTCATCACATAACTTCCCATCAGGATAAAAAGCTTGATAGCAATCCCCAGTCTACAAAAAGGGAGATGCATGAAAGGATGTGGATGTGTGTTCATTTTGGTGGTGAACTCACTTTTCAGAAGAGCAAAGTCCTCTTTACTGAGGCCATCAAAGGCATCGTCAGTTGGTGCAAAGATGGTGTAGGAGCCTTCCTGCTTCAGCAGCTCATCCAGACCTGCTGTCTCCATCAGCGTCAGGAAAATCCTACATTTATTCAAGTAAAACGAAAAAAGAAGGGAAAGAAGAAAATCATCAGTTCATCGACTCAGCATACAGGACTTCAGGAGTCACATGAGGCCTAAACGTAAGAGCAGCAAACAGGTGGATTTTTTTTTACACTGTTGGATTTAATGGAAATGATAAGGGTGATGTTAGGTCATCCACAAAAGTAGAAAATAATAATAATAATAATAATAATAATAATAATAATAATAGTAAAAGTAAGGCAATTTGAGCACATAGTCATTGTACAGTAGACAGTGTCTGTTTTTTTTCTACATTTACTAGTTAAACTGTCAGCTTCAATTTCTAAAATCAAGGCGAGTGTTTGCATTACTGACGTCCAAAACTCCAGCCAGTCAGGATATTAAGTCTATATATATTTCCCAGGAGGGAACCAGTTCAAACTATAATGACACAATGACTTTTGCTACGGAGACCAGATTATATGTTGTATTTGGACCAAAAAACGGTCCTTTTAGTTACGAGGATTAGAGTTTTGGCAGCAGAGTTCAGGCTGGGATTTGCGTGACTTGTGTGGTCTCACTGAGTCACTTTCTTCAATTATCCCTCATCAGCCTCGACTGCTGCCTGTATGTCACCATAGAGGCATTAAATGTGACATGCTCATTTAAATTATGCCTATTCCACAGCTCAGATCCTCACTTCAAGGCTTTCTTTGTCAGCTGCTTTAAAGACACAAATCAGAAAGTGACCGAGAGCAAAGGGAGAAGAATTTGACCCCAAACAGGAAGCAACAAACACGTCCCCTGGTTAAAATATATTTCTTGTCTCTGACATGCAAACTGTGGTTTGACACTTTTAAAAAAAGCGTTAAAAAGCACGAAAGTGTCCCAGCGATAGCTAATGCTTGCTATCATAAGCTACCAGTCATACCAGACTGTGATGAAATGAACAATCCTATTTATAAAAGTTAGTGTCGTGTAGCATCTTTTTAACTTCTAATTATCAGGAAAGCAAATGAATAAACACTTGCCACGTTTCCACATAATTGTCAAGCAATTATGTGCTTGACATAGAAAGAAAAACAAACATGCCAATTAGGTGTGTTACTTTGGAGTGAACAACTGTATAGTGTTGTCAAAAGGTGGTGGAATACGTTACGTGTGTTATAATATAAAGAGTAGAAGAAGGACAAGTTGCATACTGGAAACAAAACCAGTTGTTTGCCTATTGCCAAAAAATAAATAAAATTGAAAAAGGTTGAACAACCAACTCCTCTGATGGAAAAGTGGAAAAAGATCTTTAGGAATTTTGTGCCATTGGGCAAGTTGTGACTGTTTCGTCGTGCCATCTGGTATCGGGCCATGTTTCATGTTTCGGGTCTTGAAGCGGAATAAGCTGATTAGGGTTAGGTTGGCTACATTCGAACTTATTTGAAAAGTTGCTTCCATCTCATATGAAGTGCATTAACTCTGTTTTGAAAAAGTGAAAAACTACCTCAAGCGAGCGTAAAAACTGTTTAGAGATTTTTTTATTTTATTTTTTAGAATTTTGCTGTTTCTGTTAACTCTTTCTCATGCAATACTTGCAATAAGTACATCTGGTATGATTTGTGAAAAATGTAAAAACAAGTACTGCAAAAAGTAAAATAAGGTGTTGTTCTTACTTGAAGCGTCCGTCAGCAATCAAGAGCTCGTAGAGGGTTTTGTCGGCCGGTTTGATGATAGACTTCATAAGATGGAGGGCCCCGTTGCTTCCCTCCTTACCTCCACGTGTCATACATGCATTTTCTATGCACACAGCCTATGAAGAGAGGAACATTCAGGGAGTGAATTTACAGCTGTAAATGTCACTGTACAAATCTGGTAACAATTTTATATGAGCGAAGAAGGGCTGTCACACTGTCCTGTTTGACTGCAGTCAATCAAACAGAACCGTACAGTGTTTCTGTGAAGAAATCAAAGCCAGATGATTGTAATATCCACCAGAGCATAAAAAAACACTTCATCTGGACTAATTAGCTGTTTTACTGCAGTTGTTTACATTTTAAAGACAGCAAAATCGTGTTAACACATGGTAAGGGACCTAGTAATGGATTTCAGATTTCCAGTGAGCTGTTGCTTATTCATTGTCTTTCACCTCTAATTTATCTATTTTATGTTTCTTTCTGACTCCATTTAACTCTCTGATGCAACATTACACACAAACAGACATAGTTCTCACAGTGCGGTAAATGAAGACTCTGAGCAGTTTGCCAGCAATTGTTTCCAGCAGCTGTCCGTTGTAGAGCTCGCTCAGGGTGACTTTCAGCTTCAAGATGTGGTTTTCCAGAATGATTTTCAGCAGGCTCTGGTCTGTTGACATCACCTCATCTGACAAAACATACAGTAAAGTTGCTGATTGGGAAACACCACATCCTCAGTCCTGATGAAATATTTTCTACTGTGTATGGCTTCGTGTGCTGCTCTGCTGCACATTAGAACTAGTTTAGACTTCCAACTCACTAGTGAAGGCAGTGTTGAGAGGAGCGAGCAGTGTGTACTCTGTCTTCGGACCCAGAGCAGCAGCTAAGTCGAGTTCGGACATCAAGTCGATGAAAGTGCTCTGGGATTGTCCCATAAGCTCCATCACTTCCTTGGCTGGTGGGAATCACACAAACATGTCACGCTGATGATCACACAGAAATGATATGGCCAAATGAATTTCAACAAATTCAACATGTGATTTACCTGAGTTAGGGACGAGCACCTGGTCTATGAGGTGGATGACGCCATTGGAAGCCACAATGTCTTTCTTCAGCACCATCTTGATGCCATTGACAGTCAGACTGTCGCCATCGCAGCCAATCTCGATGGTGCTGCCCTCCTCTGTCTCGTACACGGATCCTGCCATGATGGCTTCTGCACACTGGACGCTGTTCAACAGGTGATAGTTCACCAGAGCTGAGAGGTTTGATTAAAGCGTGATAGAGACAGAAATAGAAACACAAGCTGATCAGATTGCATACTTGTAAACTTTTCTGCTTGCCTGTAGTTATTTTTGTAATGTACATATACTATACAAGATTTAAAGCTGTCAAAGGAAACACTAATATTCTGTCTGCTCTTTTTGAAATATTTAGGCACCTCTGTCAACATTTACATATCCGATTACACCTTCAGATGAGTCCATCGGTCAAACTAAGCTTGCAAAACTGCCTTATTAAAGCAATACATTGACAGCGTGTAAAAAAATCTACCACAAAAATTAAAATGTAATCAGTGTCGTACTGCCAGGAAAAATTACTCAGTGGTCCAAACAAAGCAAAAACATTATCTTGCCTTTGTAAATTGTCCTGACATGACTGGTCAGTGAAGTCTGTTGCCAACTGTGGGAGAATTTATCTGAGGATATATTGTTTCTCAGAGGAAGCCGCTCGCTGCTCATTCCCATTACTCAGCAAATACGCAGATAAGCTCTTCCCTTTTTTCACTGCGTGGTGTCTGGACATTCTTGTGTGTCTGTGCGTGGGTGTGTGCTCATAGTCCTTTACTTGTGAGAATTTTAATGAGCACCTAAGTTCGCACATCATCTTTTGGTAGAAATTTGGAGAAAGGGGCTGAAAGATGCTTTCAGTGGTTTACTTTTTGATTTGACAACAAGCTATCAACACGGATTACCTCCCAACAAATGAATGTTACGTGTTATCAAAACATCAGCAAGAGTCTACTGCCATGGTAGCAGCCGTGTCAGGATGAGCGTAGGCACAATGGTCCTTTGTTAACTTTAGGATGTTAACACGCTCTCCAAAAATGTACCCACATGTTGATGTTTATCTGGTACTCTCTTCTTACAATGATCACCATCCTAGCTTAGCTTGATAGCATGTTGACTGAAATGTATAAATAAATACAGCTAAACACAAAGAATGTCTGTGACTGGAAAGAATGTCATTAGTATGTAGCTAGTACGTAGTCAAAGAGAGTCAGGAGATTTTACCCAGATGATCGCACTGGATGAAAAGTCAGTGGATTATCTAAGTAAATCCACGTCATACTTAAGAGAATATTTCTTACTTTAGCAGATTTAATGGAAACATATCCAACAACTGAGACATTTTACTTAAAAAGAAAAAAAATGTGAAACCCAGTGTAGTGCTGGAGGAAAAGTTATGGTATTCCAAAACGTATTATGACTACTGGGACAGATGAATATCTGCACTATTTTTTTTTGTCAATTCAGGTAGTCAATGTTGATATACACCAATCAGCCACAACATTAAAAAAAATTATTTAAGTCCCCCATGTGCTGCCCAAACAGCTCTTAATTGGCACGGCGCTGAGGAATTTGGAGGCCTGGCCAATGTCTTGGTCTTCTGTTCCTCAAGTTGTCCCTGTTAAATGCAGGATACATTGTTCTGCTGTTGAGGAGTGTCGCTGCCATTAGGGGGGTGTGCATGGTCTGCCAAAATGTTTAGGTTGTTGGTATGTCAAAGGAACATCCACAGGACACAAGGTTTCCCAATAGAATATTGCATTGTTGATCAATGTTATCCACTTCACCTCTTGGTGGTTTTAATGTTATGGCTATTTTGGTGCATTTCGTTTTGTATGTGAAAGTTTCATCTGTTCGTAGAGCGCAAGAAAAAGACTAAGCTACTTGTTTATATCATCATTAGTGTATCTCCTGTTGTACCTGCAATAACAGTCTTGTCTGCCATGATACGCTCCAGGTAGCCTGGGCTCAGTTTGTCAAAGGCTTCATTAGTTGGAGCGAACAAAGTATATTGGCCAGGCTGGTCCAGCTTGTCCATCATATCAGATGCTAAGGCTGCAGCCTGGGAAGAAAAGCAACATTTTGTCAGACTGAGAAATGCAAAACTGTATTGAACAAGTGATGCAGTTGTTTTGCTGTGGCACTTTGTCGGTGATTTCTACAGATCAGTGTACATTTTACATACGCTGAAAGAGGAGAGCTCATCGTTGACGTCCAGGACTTCCTTGATGGTGTTACCCACAGCGCTGATTACCCGATCGATCACATGTACCACACCGTTTGTGGCCACCTGGTTAGCATGGATGATCCTGGCACAGTTCACTGTCACAACCTTCACAGAGAGGAAATGTGTTATTAAGCTGTCAGGGCCCTTCATAGGCATAATTCAAGTACTCCTGCAACCTGCAATCCTGCATGAACTAACCCCATTTGAATAGTGGTTGATGTAGAGCCCCAGGTCATTGTACATGGAAGTGAGACTCATGCCGTTCTTCAGGTCTTTTGTCAGAAGACGACGGTTCACCATGTGAAAGTGAAGAGCGTTGTACAATTCGATGTTCACGTTGCTCTCCAGTGCCGCACGTACATTCTTTGGAAATCACAACATTTGTCAAAAAGCAGCGACTGTGTGTGTGTGTGATGTTATTATTGCACTTTTGCTCTTGTAGAAAATGTCCAGTTAACTCACAGGCTCCAGCTGATCCCAGGCATCGTTGCTTGGCGCGAACATGGTGAAGGAACCTTTGCCCTCGATTTCCTCTCTCAGCTTGGACACATCGGAGTATTGCTGTGTGTTTGTAGCCTTTACAAGCCCCAGCGTGCCATACACATGGTCAATAGGAGCCACTGTGAGAAGGCAGGGGGATTATTACAAAAGTAAACTGACATCCTGAGCTGACTATGAAACAATGGTTGCTACCGAGAATAATATTACTGGACCAGATTTGGGCTGTGGTGTCAACCACCTACCTGCAGGGCATCCTCTCATGCCCTCCAGCTTCATGTACCCAGGACAGCATTCGTATAGGACCACACTGCCAAGAAAAGAGCAGAAAAAATGTTAGACTTATGAGTGATTGATCACGAAAAGAACGAAGAGAAATTAATTTAATCCTGACGCACGCTGTACAAAAGACAGATTTCTTTGCTGTTGGAGAGCTGCACATTACAATGCTTTGTTGTTTTTGCAATACCATAAATAGAAATAAAACAGACAAAGATGCAATGTGAATATAATGCAGGTTAAGAGAACAAAAGAAACTTCTCACATCAACAATGCAGCAATTACAGCTGGGGAAAAGAAAAACAACGTCGGCAAGCTACAAGAGAATGACGAGCGTTTGGATTCATTGAAAACATCCGAGACGGGAAAGCAAAGTTGCACAAAGAGGTTTCCCATCCTACTCACCAAATAATAAATCCATTATCATGCGAAGCCTATTTGGAAGTTAAAAGTGAAGAAATGGTGGCGTAAGAAAACATCTTAGAAAACGGCAATAAACACACAATTAACATGAAAGCGGTTCATTAAATGCTTCCACAAGCAAACTGACAGCACACAAGTCCCAGCAGGCCGATCACAGAGTAGAGCTGGGCTAACTTTAAACACTTGCTCAAGACATTTGTTCAGCAGTCAGCCAATGTTGCTTCCAATGGCTCACGCAACAGCAGTAAACTCAGCAAATAAAACAGTCTGATATAAGAAAAAAAGGACAGCAACAGTTATTTGTTAGCAACAAAGTCAAAACAGACCCTGAATCATATTGCATTGAAAAGTTGTGCATTATCTCTGCATTATCAACTCCAGGCTCTTATGCTGCATAAAATATGTAAAGAATCAGCTCAGTGGGCTCTCACATCAGACAAATCCAACACCACAGGCTGAGAAACTTTACAGAAACTAATAGCCACCACATTCCAAGAGGAAATCAAAGATTTACAGTACAGACTTCATGTTCAAGATACTGTAACTGTGCTAACATGAAAACCAGACAGGGCTGTCTGCTGCCCTCTTGCCATTTCTCCTGGGCCATTAATCTCATTCCTGAGGAAGCTTTCAAGAAAAACAAAATCCAGATATACAGTCAGCTTCTTGTGTCCATTTAGTAGATTTAGATTTCGGTGTGGAAGGAGCAGCTTATGAAAACTTCTGAAAACAGAGCTCAAAGAAGCAGAAACATCCTGGCAGGAAACTGGGAGGACCCGCGAACACGAAGCACGCCAAATGAGGTGTGCAGTCGACTCACACTCCTCGATCGGCCCATTCGGTTCGCAGGAACTCAAGTTGCACTTTATTCCATGAATGACACTATGAGGTGAGAGGAGGCTGATACCGTGAGCCACAAGTCAGCAATGTAGGTTTAAGAGAGGAGATGAATTATGCTTTTCACATAAAGTATGACTGGGACTTTTCCAAAGTTAACACACATCTTCCAAGATGCTAACAAACTAGGAAGTGAGTCAACACTGGATGCTCAACAGCGATCCACCAGAGAAACAGCCACTGAGCTCTTGAATCAATTTAATAGGGGGTTTAACCCAAAGCACTTTATAGGTTCCAGTTGGAGCTTTCGGTGTGTTTACTGTGGAGATTTGTTTAGAGAGGTCTCCTTGGAGCTTATTACACATTCAGTGTGTTTGATGCAGAGCCCTAAGCTTTCCTGCTCTCTGTTTTACCATGGAAATACTGGGTGTCTATATGAATGCAGAGCTTTCTCTACATAATTTGCATCCAAAACAAATAACTGTTTGCTTTCCTTTTAGGAATGAACAGTAGTGATATATGATGCAAAAACAAATTACTCCCTTCATAGTCTATTTCAGACATACACACATAAAGCAGCATCACTCACTTTCTCCCCTCAGCTTCCTCAAATGACTCACGTGTTTTGGCAAACTGCTGTAATCCACTATAATGGGCATTTGTGTGGTTATATGTGTGATGATACTGAAAACCCGGACGTTTTATGTGCAATAGCTGCGTTGCTTATAGAGCAATCATCCTTGGCTTTAACACTAATTTCTATAATGTGAAATACAAAATTATCCACGCATGACTGGCTGTCAGGAAGGTATGAAGTCATCGCTCTCCAGCTGCGCTCTGACAGGATAATAGATGCAGTAGACACCAGAGACACAGCTAGCCGGTGCGCTGCGACCAGAACTCTGGCAGTGTCGCTGCATGAAATGGCTCAATGTGGCTTCCAGATGAGCAGATGTGCAAACGTGGGGCACGGATGCACACACACACACTGTCGTTGCACAGAAACACTAGCTGGGGGGTTGTCTGGCATCACATCAAAACAGTACAGTTTTTTTTCTGTTACATAATCAATATACCAGTCTTGTGTGATTACTGTGCAAACATTTTCTTTTTTTAAATACATACATCCCAGGGAGTGGACTGTACATCATTAAAACGACACACATTCACAACTTTTCTGACAGTACTGTGGATCAGCTGCAATTAATAATCATCTGCTCCATGCATGTTCAGTCCAACACCTAAAACCCACCACTTTGAAGAAAATTGCTTCCACCTGAACTTCCAGCAGCTCTGTTTAAGAGTCCCTGGTGGAAATTAGGGCATCAACAAATCCCTATGGTGTCATTATATCCCAAGTAAAGAAACAGGAGAAGACAGCGCAGCGTATGAACATCATTTATCCTTTGTGGCAGTGTTTTTAAGAGATTCCCTCCAGGTACCCTCATAGCTTGTTTTAACACCAGCTTGTTTCTACACCAACCCACTGTGAACTCGCCTTGCCGTGGACTCAAACACTCTGTCCTAATCTCTCATCAACACCAAATCCCACTCAGACATAACCACAGCTGGCTGGATTTCCTCCACTGCTGCTAAACAATGTCTTCACTGTGACCACAGAGGCAGAGAGAGATTCTTATTGCATTGATGGTCTGTTTCTGCTGTATTTACTTCATATTGTCATTTGATATTGTTTAGTTGTTTGCTGATGGAAAATATGAATACTTTGAATACACATAGAGCACCATATTTATGAGATTATTGGTTGATGTGATTTTGTTTATAGGTTGTTACTGTAGGCATATTTTAGCTAAGCTCTCTTTATACATGATCTAAGTCAGTTTTATTTAAACTTCTTAAAACATTCCTTCTAAACCCAAAAGGACATAAATAATCAAAGAAACAGTTAAATGGGATTTGTCATACTTTACTAATCCCAAAGACAAAAAACAATCAAACATATCTGATTCCTTAGCAACCCTCATTGCCCTCCTACCATTTACCCTCATCTGATTCAATCTTATCTTTTAATTCCTGTGTGATCCCATGTAATGTTATCTCCGTATGGTCTCCATCGTACTGTCTTGGAAGAAAATGACACACCCCTGCACTCAAATCATGCTTTTATCCATTGTCTCCCCTATCTCCTCATTTTCAGACTTATCTACACAGCAACAGGTGTTCCAGTCGACTGCACAAGTGAAAAAAGTGTGAGTCTGCATTGTGTTCTTGTGTGTTAATGACAGAGAGTGAGTGAGAAAGAGCGTGCCATTTTTTTTTTTCTTTCACTCTCCCACTACACCAGGCCACCCACAAGGCTGATGAGCTCCAGCCGAGCCTTACACTCCACATTTTTTTTTTTTACTCTAATAATCAACTCATTCCGCACACTATGTCACAAGAAAATACTGTCACCAACTAATGACTTCAAACCAGCACCACTGAGTTCTAAAACAGCATTTTCACTGTAGGACACCTTAACCAACATTTCTAAAAAGTAGCAGTTTCCAGTTGCAGTTTCTTATAGCTCACCCAAAGCATAAATCAGAAGTAAAGAGCAACTTAATTTCATCCACACAAACACTCCATTCACACACATACAGCACAAATCAAGCACTCGCTACATGTGCCAAGAACCTAAATCTGGCAAAGCTGAAGATGAAATATATCTTCTGTTTCACCTAACTGCGAGACTAAAAGCACATAGACTGATGTTTTTCCTGAGTACCTGAAACATGTTTGAATCCAGGCATCAATCACTGCTGTGAAGCGCTTACAACATCAACAGGCTCACAATGGAGTGAACCCCTGGCCACAAGGCTACAGAGCACGCCCAGACTTGAGAGGAAGGGAGAGGTGAATGAAGATGAAGAATAAGGGAGTTATACAGTGCATGCAGAGTTTCCATGTGTAGGAAACTGAGGGTGTGAAATCCAGATGCAAAGGAAATATGAATGTACATATGCTGAAAATGTTAATTATTTATAACCCTAGCAGATCCAGATAGGTGGGGTCAAACTAAGCTGATGTCTGCTCGATAACAGTAAAAGGTGAGGAGGTTAGCGTGGTGGTGGTGGAATCCAACCCAAACATCAAATATTGATGTTCGTCTGGCTGGTTTGGAAAATGATGCTGGGAATGGTTTACACTTTGGGTCGGGCCATTTGGACTGGGTGCGGATAACAATTTAGCCGTTTGATAAAGACTTACGCCTTCTTGCCACAGATGGAGCCTTTGTACCAGTTCCTGCATGTGCTGAAGTACTTCTTCTTGGTGCCCACGACCTGCTGCAGCGCGCACACATTGGGTCTGCAAGAGGAGGGAGGAGAGCATGATAAGGGAGTGACAAAGAAAGTGAAAAGCAGGGTGAGGAGGGAAGGCCAGGATACGGGAGTGCATGAGGGTGAGGGGCGTGGGGAGGGGAAGGAAGAGGGGAGGTTTGAAGGATCAGAAGATAGGAAGATGTGAGGGGTTGTTGAGTGAATGTTTGAAAAGTAAAGAAAAATGCTAATGTTTGTGTTTCTAGCAATGCATATTAGGATCTAGCTAATAACTGCAACTAATGCACATAATTAAAACATTTTTATGTAATAGAAATTAATTTCAGCAAGCAGTGGCAGCCCATTAAAACAGCTGCTTAATTTCCACTTCAATTCGATTTGTAAATACTGAATTATGCATATTTTTTTGTAGTTGAAGACTGAATGAATGTCAGAGACAGTATTGAGTTTTCCATGATGGCTTTAATCAATATTTTCATCAATGTGGCTGACCTGTTTATCAAATTGTCCTCTATGCGAGTTAAAACCACCTTTAAAAACTAGCACACAATATAAAATCTGACACACTGAGCAGTCCACACATCACAAATCAAATGCAATTTCTGATTTAACATGTGCACACTGATACAAACATGCTGATCAGGACTGTTATCTGCAACAACAACAGCAACAACAACAAAAAAGAAGTAAACTCTGTTCTTTAAAGTTTGCTCTCCCGTCTCCTTACCCTTCCTTCCTGGCCCGTATGCGGCTGTGGGTGACTATCTTGTCATAGGCTGAAGAGTCGACGCTCCCCAGAGAGCAGAGCGCCACCAGCACTAAGGTCACCACTGGCAGCTGATGCATCCCGGTCAGTTATCAGTCCTCTGTACTGCGAGGGCACAAACACACACTCCTCTTGTCTTTTTTTAAATACACACACAAACGCACACACACCCCAAAAAATACACAGGAGATATGGGAGCACACGTGAGAGAGGGAGCTTTTATACCAACAACCCCCCCACCTCTCTCTCTCTCTCTCTCTCTCTCTCTCTCTCTCTCTTCCTCTAACACACCCACTCCCTTTTTACTCCCTCACTGTCTTTTCCATACCATTACGTCCTGCTCTCACCCGCACACACCCTTCTGTTCAGTGAAAAATCCTTCCTCCAGCTCTGACTCCAGCTCATTGTCTCCTCCTCCCTCATGTCGTTTCACGTGAATTTTGCATGAATTTTCTTGACCACCATCACATCCCAGAGCACCAAGGACACCCTGTGATTCAAACTTTACGTGGCTTCACGCTCCTGAGTGACTCCTCCAACTGTGAACTGCCCATGAAGCGTGCTACCACGACAGAGCTTGTGACCTGGCATCACAATTAAGAAAAAACATGAATGAGAAGAAACTAATGAATACACATAAAGGAATGTAGATGTTTCATTACTGATTTAAAGTTATGATATTTTGCATTCACACACAAACACACATATACAGGCACTAAGAACACCTCAGCTATCTGTCCTTGAGACATTTGGCAACAAAATGTGTGATTTAAATTGACTGGAATGTCTTAATAGGGTAAATTGTAAGTCATTCTCAAAGAGCCATATTAGGAATCTGTGTAGATCACAGTTTTGCACTTGACACTGCGCTTGACAGAAACCTGATTGTATTTTTATCGTACGCCTCCTGGGATACCGCTCTCCTCCCTTTTCCCTTTTATGATGTGGATTCATCATTTCCACCAGCCTTTCCTCCCTCGAACCCCCGTTTGTGCTTCTCCTCTCGCTTCATCCTCCCCGCTGTCATGTTCGTCGTTCATCATCTCAACTCTTACCTGGTCCCAACTTTTCCCCACAGTATCTCATCGTTGAAGCCAGATCTGATACAGCTTCAAAGTGAAAAAAACCTCTCATGAAACAGGCTCTCCCTGGATGGCGTCATGTACGGTCTTGACTTCTGAACATGAACAGGTGTGCTTCAGTCTGTTGATTCTGTGAAAGAAGAGCGATCGTTCAACAGATGTGACCGCAGACAGAGTGCACTGAGGTTCTGGCACATGTTCTATTTAGGATACAATAAGGTAGGAATCAGGGTGATTTTAACAAGTCCACTTCTGGTTGTTGATTAAACTCCTTAAACTCATCTTTGTCTATCAAAGTTACATAACTTTTCATTTTTTCCCCCATAAAAATACCTAATATGGCTTAAATGTACAGCAGCGCTACACTGTTTACTGCACTGCTTCCTCTAGAATGTGTGAATCTTCACAGTTCCCACCTCTCGCTTCAACTACTCCTCTTCAATCACTGTCACTCAATCACACCAGCTCACCTATGACTCTGTTCCAACGCTGCAAAACTGTTCTACGGTACATGATTGCAAGTAGTAATATAGGAGTAATTCAGACACATATGTGAGAACTACAACCTGACTCCAAAGAAGAAATGGTTCCTTAGGTTTGTATAAAACCCTGTAAGTCTAAATCCATGTTTTTGAGCCTATGTTTACTACACTTGCAGGTTTAAGGTAGAAGTGCTCAGCCATGGTATTGATTGCTTACTACCTTTATGATATGTCTTCTATCACGTGGACACATTAACGGCTCAGAAACTTTATTTATTCTGAAGGACTTTTACTAATTTTCAGCAGCTTGCAATCATAATAAAGGAAGAAAACGTTGCACTGAAAATGATCTTAACTCACCCACTGTACACCACAGATTTACTCACTGTCTATGAACTCACATGACCTCTGTGATCCCAGAGATGACAGAAGGCCGAGCAGCTTTCCAGAGAGCCTCCTCCCTTTGGACACGACTTCCTATCATTGAATGGAATCTAGCATTTTAGAAAAGAAAAAATAACAAAAACTTAACAAACTGAGGACACACATATTAAATCCAGACTGCAGCCAACACACGAACCTGATGGATTGCAGTTAGCGATTGCTGATCTATTCCATCTGTCTTTATGTAATTGTTAAAAACCTTTAAGATGAAATGAGTGGTAACCAGCTGTTGCGCCACAGCTCTCTCCAGGGTTTTGGTTGCAGGTGGTTGTGGAGTTGATCCTGCAGACATGTTGGCAGAGGAAGTGGACGGCAGGAACTCCATCCTATGTGTGACATCCCCCCCTAGTGGGAAACACTTGTCAATACACTCAAGGGGGAAACCTCTATTTCACATGTAGCCACTTTATTAGGTACACCTGTGAAATCTAACGCAATCAAAAACGACAGCTCTGCCACAATTCTACTTTTATAACATTTTAAGTTTAATTAGTGTTTTCAAAAAGATTCTATTTTATGTATACCATTGGGGTCATAATGGGTGACGGCATACTGGATTGCATTACATTTAAATATACCTGATATCAAAACCACGAACATACACGAGGGGGAAACACTTTTAAATTTAAAGCAGTCCAGTAGCTACACTACCATCCGCCATGATGTTGTAAAATGTGTTTCATAATAACGTAATAACAATGTAAGTCACATTAGATGCATGATGTGTTCAAGGACATGTATGTGTGAATATCAATGTTGCACAAGTGTTTCTACAGCAGGTCTGCACGTTATTCACTTCAGCCTTGCGTGTGAAAGTTAACCTTATACAACTAACAGTATCAGCTGTGTGTGTGTGTGTGTTGATTCTTGCATTTTTACTGCAGATTCTTTGCTGTTGCTGCCTCGAGCACACAGCACTTTTTTCAATATTCTGTCCTTTGCTGTGGAGCAGAGTAACACTTTTTTTCATCATATCAGTTTTTTGGACAGTTGGCTTATTTTTTGTAAACAAATCACATTCATGCTTAAATGTTAAAGAGGAATCTGGCAGTTCAAAACAAATCAGTTGAGTCATGTTTGAAAGTTACATCAGCGCTCTCAACTAATATGTACTGTCGTGCCGCTGAATACGATTGAAGCACTTGAAACACCTAAATATAATCATGTATATATGCATGGCGTCTATTCGTGCGTTTCTGCATCTGTGACAGCTTGTTTGAGTGCAGTTGGGAAAATCTATCAGAAACCCAGGAGCATTTCAGCACAGCCTTTTGATCACACATGGAGCGCAGTTTCATCATCTGTTGAATATTTCATCTCTTGTTCACTTGCTCGGTCACTTGTGCACTGATAGATATTACAGGCCGCTAAAGTACAAATAAGAAAGTGACAGAAAGCAGGCCAAAAAAATTAAAATGGTTCACAGAAAACAACAATGTCCAGCCTGTGGGGGAACACACAGGGCAGTTGATGCAATCTCACTCACTTTTTGGAGTGTAAGTGTAATTGACTTAAGTGGTGACTTCGGATGGGATTTGCTTTTGTTCTTCTTCTTTATCTTTTTCTTTTTGTAGTCTGAGAGAAGTTCATCCTTGTCTTCCTGCAGTTACAGAAAGTTGCCGCAAATGGTTTGGCTACCTGGACGATAGAGCATGTTTACGCATACATTCAACTCCAAAGAAAAACAAAACGCCAAAGAAAATTTTTCACGACGATTAACTACACTTTTAAGTACCTAATTTACTGAAATCAGGAGCAAACTGAAAACAATTAAAATAAATCAGGCCATTAAATACTTGCAAAATTGTGTAATCTCCTCTCCAAAAATGAAAGGCAGGCTCACGTGCGAGAAGACTGCTCTAGTCAGGACAGCCTCGGCCAGAAAGATTAATGTAATAACACACACACACACAAAAACCGCAGAGCACACAATAGCTACTGTTAAATGGTCGAGTAGGTTTTCCATTCATTATGGAATTATAGATCTTCATTCCCCTGCTTCTCCTCTGGTGGTTGAGCGAGACTCGGGAATGAATGCAAAGTAATGTAATAACTGCAGTAAAAGTTCGATTAACAAGCTCGTGCTGCTCTTAGGAGCGAAAGAGTTTTCAGTGGCATTACAAGACCAGCTGCACAGTAAAGTGGTGGAAACGTGCTGGCAGATAAATTAGCCCTTTCACTTTGTGGTTTTGCTGTTCTGGCTGTGAAATAATGGAGGAACATTTCATAAATGACTGGACAAAGTGTTGGGCAAGAAGGGAAAAGCTTCCTGAAAGCATTTTGTACAGTCCTTTATTATATTATTATTACTGAATATTTGCACCCACACCCACTTCCTGGGACTCAAACGACATTCACAATATTCAAATGTAACATCCTACTCTTGCTAAGGCTTGAACAGTTTTACATACAGCCTTTCTTTTTGACCATTTCAATACATTAACGTGAAAGTGGGTGAATATTTTCTGATGAGTTTAAAAAAAAAATAAATTCTAAACTAATATTGCATTTCTAAATATTCTTGTGTAACAGATGATTCACAAAGCTGATGTTGTGTCTGTGGAGAATTTCTAAACTGCAATTTTTAAATTGATGTGCTTTAAAATTTAGTAAAAATAGAACACTAACAGATGCCTTCTAATGACCTTTGGCTTGTAGACCGCCTCATTCTTCTTCTCTAGTGACTAATCTAGAAGCTCTGCTGTGCTTTTAATTTGGACCTTCGGCAGTGAAGTGACCCTTCTGAACATCAGTTCTTAAAATAGGAAGTGATTAAGCAAAGTACATCTTTTTCAGAAACTGTCTGGCCCAGTCAAGCTAATATAAATGTCCACAAGACACCCATTAACCCATTAATGATCTCTGTAGTATCTTCAGTGACAACTTAATGGAGAAACCTGATGTTATGGTCATAGTATTATGTGGCTAGGCTTTCATGGCTTTGAAAGCCAATTTAAAAAACACCAACGTCTCCTTATCGACAGATTAAATGCATGAAAACAGCAAAGTAAGTAGAGCTGTGATTTTTTTAAATCAATTTTTCAACCTAACCAAGGATGTTTTCAGAGTTATTTCTCTTGAATACACTTTTGTTTTCTTTGGAATCAATGTATCAATGATTTTGCGATGACAAAAGACTTAAAAACACCATTACAGTCTATATTTTCTAAAATAAAATATTCTCAGTATCCTCAAA